TTCTCAAATAAATAAATAAATCTAAAAAGAGAGAGAGAGAGAGAGGAAGTAAAAGTTAGAAATAAAGGAAACTGGTATGCTGAATAAAGGAAAAGGAGAATATGGTAAAAAAACAGTGGTATTTAAAATTGGTCTGGAAATACCATACTTGAATAAGTCAATCTGGGTCCTCAGTAATTCTTGGATCATGATTTCCAACTCCTCTCTCTTCCTGAATCTGGATGCTAGCCCCAGATGGTTGTCTCAGGCCCCATGTCATCTTCACAAAGTCCTCCTATATCTTTATCTTGCAAAAATGGCATGGATACTCTACGCAGTAGAGTCACATGGTGTTAGTGAGGAGAAGACATTAGTAAGAGCACTTATAAGTAGGGAAGGCACAATACTTTCTGAATATTTCTGAGCCCTCATGATTCCCCCACAAAGGGTGCTTGGGCTGGGTATGATTGGCCAGGCCCAAATGCAGAAAGGGCTCTAAGACAGGACCTCACCCCATAGGGTTCTGTCTGGTGTGAGAAGTGGCCTTGTTAGGAAGGCTGGGCATCTAGCATCAGCCTGTCCTTGCATTGAGCTAGACTCAGACCTGTTGAGCCGGCTCTCTGCTAAACTACTGAGAGAAGGTGAGAAATGGGTATTTGAAGCCATCTGGATTTACCCTCTTTGGTTATGTCCAGGGTCCTCCAAACTAGAAAGAACTACATTTTCCAATATTACAACATGAGCACCAAAGAGCCTTCAATGGACCCCTCAATGCCTTCTTGGCCTAAGAGATTTTTGTATACTCAGCCCCAGGATCTTTTCCTTTTGCCACTTTGATTCTTCAGGTCAGCAAGTCACTGAGATACAATTGAGTATCTAATCATGCTTGGCTTGTGTTGACTTCTGGAGACATCACATATTCTGCCCTTATTTCTATATACTGAATTATCTTCCACATCTGTTTATTGACTGTTGTTAAAGGATAATTTATATAAGAAGATCTAATCATAACTCTCACCTAACTATAAAAATGAACACATGTCAAAGTTTTTATTTAACTCATTAATTAGCAAGAGGACTAGTAAGATGTTACAACTAGTTCATATGAGGATTTGATTTATATTCTGTACTGAACAAAAGGAATACTTTGCAAAGCTATGGACAGAAAAGATACATTACTATCATCTCACAACATGTTGATGTCTACTTGGACAGAGTTGTAAAAAAGCCTGGTCAAAGACAATCAAAGGCCACATCCCGAGAGGATGAGATAATCCCTGGAGGGTCCGCTGGACAAGGCTTAGCATTCTACTGCAAGGACACCCAATAATCTCTTTCGTCCCTTTCAGTATCTGACAGTTTCTCCTGGCAGACTTCCTTCCCTCTGTGGTCATACATAATTTAAAGATTATTCTTGGTCATCAAAAAAAGCTGGTCTCATTTCCTTACACCATACACGAAAATAGACTCAAAGTGGATGAAGGACCTCAATGTGAGAAAGGAATCCATCAAAATCCTTGAAGAGAACACAGGCAGCAACCTCTTCGACCTCAGCTGCAGCAACATCTTCCTAGGAACATTGCCAAAGGCAAGGGAAGTGAGGGCAAAAATGAACTATTGGGATTTCATCAAGATCAAAAGCTTTTGCACAGCAAAGGAAACAGTTAACAAAACCAAAAGACAACTGACAGAATAGGAGAAGATATTTGCAAACGACATATCAGATAAAGGGCTAGTGCCCAAGATCTATAAAGAACTTAGCAAACTCAACACCCAAAGAACAAATAATCCAATCAAGAAATGGGCAGAAGACATGAACAGACATTTCTGCAAAGAAGACATCCAGATGGCCAACAGACACATGAAAAAGTGCTCCACATCACTTGACATCAGGGAAATACAAATCAAAACCACAATGAGATATCACCTCACACCAGTCAGAATGGCTAAAATTAACAAGTCAGGAAATGACAGATGCTGGCGAGGATGCGGAGAAAGGGGAACCCTCCTCCACTGTTGGTGGGAATGCAAGCTGGTGCAACCACTCTGGAAAACAGCATGGAGGTTCCTCAAAATGTTGAAAATAGAACTACCCTATGACCCAGCAATTGCACTACTAGGTATTTACCTTAAAGATACAAATGTAGTGATCCGAAGGGGCACGTGCACCCGAATGTTTATAGCAGCAATGTCTACAATAGCCAAACTATGGAAAGAACCTAGATGTCCATCAACAGATGAATGGATAAAGAAGATGTGGTATATATACACAATGGAATACTATGTAGCCATCAAAAGAAATGAAATCTTGCCATTTGCGACGATGTGGATGGAACTAGAGGGTATCATGCTTAGCGAAATAAGTCAATCGGAGAAAGACAACTATCATAAGATCTCCCTGATATGAGGAAGTGGAGATGCAACATGGGGGGTTAAGGGGGTAGGAGAAGAATAAATGAAACAAGATGGGAGTGGGAGGGAGACAAACCATAAGTGACTCTTAATTTCACAAAACAAACTGAGGGTTGCTGGGGAGAGGGGGGTTGGGAGAGGGGGGTGGGGTTATGGACACTGGGGAGGGTATGTGCTATGGTGAGTGCTGTGAAGTGTGTAAACCTGGCGATTCACAGACCTGTACCCCTGGGGATAGAAATATATTATATGTTTATTTAAAAAAAAGCTGGTCTCATTAGGATTGGCTGATTAATTAGATAGGTGCATCACAATTGTTTATTGATTAGACAGGCCTCCTCTCAGCCTACTTGGAGAAATCTAGAGTCATACAGTATTGAATGGTCCCAAATTAACTTCCGTCTGTAAGTGTTCATAAAGAAACTTGGAAAAACACATCTTATTTGTTGTCCCAAGATACTCCACCAGATTTTAGCTGCAGTACCTTTACATTTGGATAAATTCCTTTCTTCTTGAGGTTTTGAAAAAATATCCCAATGGCTTGCCTTTGAAGTGAACTTCCTTACTAACTATCAGGCTGGACCCTATGAACTCATTCAGGTCAGTTTTCCTGGGAGGGCTTTATAAGCTTTGACTCCATAATTACAGCCAAACTTTGTTCTTTATTCTTTTCAAAAATTTTTAAAAAGATCTTCTTTTTAAGTAATCTCTACACTCAACGTGGGGCTCGAACTTTTAATCCCTAGATCGAGAGCTGGATGCCTTATCTACTGAGCCAGGGGGGACCCCCACCCTTTGTTCTTTAGAATGGCTTGTCACATTTATTCAACTGAACATCATTCTCAACTACAATATTGCAGGCAAGGCATTGCTTGCATAATGGAATCTTCCAATTATGTCTTGGCACAAAGGAGGACAGATACTTACTGAACATATGTAAACAATTATATTGAAAGTAAAAAGACTAAGTAAGTTTCTGAATTACCTGAGGAGGGTAATTAGTTGTATCAGTTAGAACCACATGTCATTTTTAAATGTTTTGTTTTAGTTTACAACAGTAGAATTTACAAAATTATTGTGAATTGCATACAGCATAAGAAGAAAAAAGGAAAGGTTTCCTTACACATTCAACAAATAGGACATTAAAACAAGTCAATAGTGCTCCAAATAACCTCAATAAAATTTCCTATACCTATTTGTTTGGTCTTACTTAATTAATTCTCTTTCTTATGGATGATGGGTTAGCAGTTTCATGAAACTGTCTGCTTTTCAGCTACAAAGAGTCTTGGAAATCCTGACTAAGTTCCACCAATATACTCTGAAAGCTATTCAAGCCATGTCAGCTGAAATTTGAAGAGTCAATGGTTTGAAGGACCTTGTGCTATCATTGTCCACAAGGTCTGGGAGTGCCCTTTTTTATTGAAGACATGAACGCTGGCCCATTGCTTATATCAGTCTTTGAATAAGCATCAAAGAAAAAGAAAAATTATATACGGTGTTTAAAAAACTCAACCAAGCAAATTTTGAAGCTCTTATTGGCTTTATTCAGTGATTCACCAATCAGGCAGCATCTAATCCAGCAGATAGAAAGGAGCTCTGAGGAACTATATAAAATGAAAGATTTGTATAAGCAGAAAAGTGATGGGACAAGGAAGTTACACTAAATGAAAAAGTAGACTCATTACTGCAAGGTTACTTTCCTTTAGGGGGTGGCAAGGGTCTATCAGGCAGTTTACTAACTAGTGCTAATTAGGTGACTTCTGATCCAATCGTTTAAGATTCCATTTCTGGGATCCAAAACTAAGTCTTGGTTTGGTGACATGGAGCTTAGCATAAGTGACTCCATTTGGGGCCCATTCTTTTATCAATAGATAGCACAGACTTAATGGCTGTTGCTAATTTATTACTGGTATTTTTTAAATGTGAAAAGTCTGATTAAGTTCATAATACAAATAATACTGCTGACAAGGAAATTTGGTTCTTTCTGTGCAAAACAAAACCAAAAAATCCTCCTCCCCCCAGCTAGCCCTCCCAACCTCAGCCATATAGACAACCTGCCCAGGTAGGAAGCCCCAGGCTTCTGTGGATTCAGCAGAGGCGGGAGTGGGGGCAGGGAGCTGTGCAAATCCAGCCCTCAGCTAAAGCAAATAATAATGGCTGGAAGCTTAAAATAGATCCAGGGAGGAGCTCATTAACTTGGCATAGGAAGTAGTCAGTACCTCTAGCATTTCTCATTTTGGAAATTGCTTTGGTCCATTTTCCTTCTATTCATTGGACCGGAAAATACAGATCTTTACTAACATATTCACCACATCTGACGATGAGCTAATTTAGACCAGCCGAAATAATTGTTCCACAGGAACACAGGACTTCAACCTCAGTTCAGAAAATCCCTGACATCTGACGTAGGAGGATTTATAGGTTTAGTGGAAATTGCTTTCTCCTGCTCTCCAGATTACATACTGTGGCTTGATTTTTTTTTTTTTTTTGCATGAGTAAACATCCTTGGAATTAATGAACAGACCAATAATGTCTTAAAAGAGAAAAGAACATCATTTTCCTTTTTGCTGTTTTTTGAGAGAACCATTTGCATTTGGAAACCCATACTGGCTGTCCAGAATATGAAAGTTGGAGTTTTCATTTTGTGGTGGGGATGGGTTTGGGCCACTGAAAGCAAAGTGCATGGACGAGGAGAAGTAAACGAGATGTCCAAGAAAGGCAGGTGAGTGGACTTCTGGGGATAGAGCTCACGGTATTGCCCTAAGGCCATTCCAACATATGGTGTTTTATGTGGGTGCCCTTCCCCACCTTTCCCTTTGTTCTCCTGCTCCCTCCCTTTTAGGAAGTTGGAATTATGTTGTTTTTAATGATGTTAGATTAGATACAGTGCTGTCATTGCGAATCTCTTATGAATTGTCTTACGCAAAAGACTCCAGAAAAAAGAATATATTCACCTCATTTTAAAAAGTTAAGGGCAATTATTTGATGTCTGCCTCCTAGGTTGGGACAAATCTGCAAATTCTCAAATAACCAATGGGGTCTTTAATTAGTGAGAATGATTTTAGTTCTAATTATTTCTGGTACATTAGTGGATCTGGATCTCTTTTAATGTCTTTTAAAAGAAAACAAGGCAGCTTTCTTCAAGCTATATGGCTAGATGGGGTCATTTGATTGTCCCTTACTAGTAAATGGAGAGGGTGCAGGGATGGACCTGCCTGCAGACCAGTTGCTTGCTCGTTGTCAATGGTACGTGTAGCCCCCAGCCATACCAGGGTCCGAGGAGGCAGCGGGGGCAGAGGTGGACGGCCCCTTTGGCACCTGGACTCACTCAGGTGGCTCTGATGGCAGCCCCGGTCACTAAATGATGGCATCGCACAGCCGCACACCTGCTAGCCCCACCTTCATCAGTGAAATAGCACCGTTGGAGGAAACCTGATCCAGCTCTCCCTCTTTATGGATGAGGAAAGAGAGGCAGGGCATTCTTAACTCTCAGTTCTTTATCAGCTTTAGGTCCAAATTCAGCTTCAGGTCTGTTATCTCTGGACGGAAATATGAACAGAGGTCCAAAATATCAATTAGTGTGAATGGAAGTGTAGCTTTCTGCAGATCGGGGCTAGTGACAGGGCTGGGGGTCTGACTCTTCAGTGCCCCCCTCCTGGGGTCTGAGAGCCCTCCGCACATGGGCTCCCGGACAGCCAGCGACGGCGCACAGCACTCCAGGATGTTTTAACGACATCACAAAACCAGGAGCTCAAATATCAGGGGACCGTGGGAAGTCCTGGGCACGGAGGGTGACTGCTGAGTACAAGCCACATGCCCTGGTTCCCTCAGACTCTCAGGTTGCTTGGGCAAACAGGTATTTGGGGAGCGGTACAGCCACAGAGATTATCTGAATCAAATGTGCTCTGGAGGATTAAGAGCAGCCGCAGCAACAAACCCTATTGGTTGTCACCAAGAACTTCTCAGCCTCTCTCCTAAACTGAGCTGGAGTGGTGACCTATTGGTGAACACCAATGATGAAGAGAAGTCCCAGATAGTGAAATAGATCTTCTTAAAAAAAAAAATTATTTGCACCTGGGTAGTGTGGTAGGTTAAGCATCTGACTCTTGGTTTTGGCCCAGGTCATGATCTCAGGGTCATGATCTCAAGGTCCCAGGATCAGCTCGGGGGGATAAAGCCCCAGGTTGGGTTCCACACTTAGAGAGGAGTCTGCTTAAAGATTCTCTCCCTCTCCTCTGTCACCCCCTCAAATAAATAAATCTTTAAAAAATTAAATTTAAAAAATCACTTATAAAACTTTCATGTTTTTATGATGAAATTCATATATGACTACTATAATTTTAAAATTTTCAAAAATGGGATCAGTGTATTAAAAACACAAAATTCACCCATAATCCCCCAACCCAAAAATTTATGGGTGTTAACGTTGTTAACATGGTTGTGTATTTTCTTTCACTCTTTTTGTCTAAGCACATACTGATTATTAACTAGTTTGGGATTATTCTATACATATAGTTACATTTATAACCTCAAGTTATTTAATATGACTTTGTCTGCATGTTTACTTATTTACAGCCTACGTAATTATCATTTCAATGACTGCATTATGATGCATAATAATACATAATTTAGCACCATTTAAGCAGTTTCCTCTGTATTTTGGACATTGAGTTGCTTCCTTTGTTATTATAAATACTATACATGAATATCTTTGTACATGAGAATAGTTGTCTACATATAGGATTTTCTTTTTTTAAATAAGCTATATGACCCCATAAAGTGCTTGAACTCACAATCCTGAGGTCAAGAGTCACATGCTTAACTGACTGAGCCAGCCAGGAATCCTTACATATGTGATTTTTTTTTTTAAGATTTTACTTATTTATTTAACAGACAGAGACCACAAGTAGGCAGAGAGGCAGGCAGAGAGAGAGGGGGAAACAGGCTCCCCACTGAGCAGAGAGCCCGATGCGGGGCTCAATCCCAGGACCCTGAAATCATTACCTGAGCCAAAGGCAGAAGATTAACCCACTGAGCCACCCAGGCGCCCCACATATAGGGTTTTAAAATTAGAATAGACTCCTGGAAGTGTACAAGGTCACAAAGGTCAAATTGCACACGAACTTTAAAGCTCCAGATATATTTAGCCAAATGGCTTTCCAGAACGATGGACCCGACTTACACATCCCCCGCCAGGTTAAGTTTTATTTTTATGTAGCCTCCGTTTTTCAAGGGCTCACTTAATTTCCTCTAGATTCTCAACTCATAAACTGCTGGTAATTTGTATGCAGGCTTCTTTTCATAGTTTCTACTAATGAAATGTGAAGCACAGTGAACACGTGCACGCAACGGGGTGAGGCCCGTGAGGTGCCCACGGTGCAGAATTTAAGAAGGTGCGTGCACGGTCCTGAGGGGATGCCTCCTTAGGTTTTGTTCCTTACCTGCCTCATTCTAGTCTCCACCCTGGCAAATAACTCAAGAGCTATTTCCCAAGCTCTCCATGGGAGGCACATCAGGTGGGATTTTCCTCACAAATCATGCTTGGTAAATATCAGAATGCAAGGGCATTGGGCAAGGTTTCTAGAATGGATCAATAGTTATTGTCTCTCCCTCCTCCCTGGAAGAATGGAGGTATAGCCCGTCTACACCACAGACCCTGGGACAAATGCCCGCTCTTGCTCTGGGAGGGCCAGCTGGTCTACCAGAAGTTGCAAGTTTTGTTCTCATACTTGCTTTGTCACGTTAAGGCATTCCAGTGTATTTGGAAGGTGAAGCAGGTCTGCATAGTTTCAGCTGATGTCCAATTTGGAGAGCTCACACTGTGGCATTAGCGTAGAAGGATGGGAAGGGTGCTAGAGGGGACACAGAGAAAGTCGCCCACAGCCTATGCCGTAACCCGGGTGAGAGAGGGTGAAAGCCTCAAGTAGGGTATGGGTGGAAAGAACAGGACTGGGGGAGATGGATGTAAGAGCTTTAAGGAGCTAGAATTGTCAGAATTCGATCAGGTGGAAAACTAGCAGGTATCTGGATTGTGTGACCTCGTAGAAGGCGGTGTCAGGGAAAGCAAGGCAGGATGGGGAGCAGATGTGGGGGGAAGGAGGCGTTCGTTATGAACACGTGGACCTGAGGGTGTTTTCCCAAGATGTGAAGAGAGAGCTGTCCAGTTGGAGGCCTACAGGTCTGCAGCTCAGGAGGGAAATGGGGCTTGGAGACGTAGATCTAACAGAAGTCATCATAGATGGGGGTGGAAGAAGCGACCCAAAGAGAGCAAGTCGTAAGAAAGAAGAACAGGATCAAGGACAGATCCTTCGGGAAGAGCAACATTTAAGGAGAGGATGGCGGAAGAAGCCTTCCTCGGTGAGGGACGCTGGAAAAGAAGGGCCAGAGAAATAGGTGTATGACTGGAATGGAGAGGTGTCAAAGATGTCAAGAGAGTTATTTATTCGACAGTTGTCAAATGCTTGTCTGAGGGCCGGCACCGCACCAGCAATGGGCACTTCACCAATGCCTAAAGCAAATACAGGTTTTGCCCTCAAGAGACTTGCAGACTAGAGAGGCATTCCCTCGAAGCATCAAGGGTTTCCAGAGGGAGGGAGTGACACTAGGGTCAGATCACACAAAGACACAGCAGCTAAGAGCCACTGAGGACCTCAGAGAAGAGTGGCAGTGGGTTGAAGAGCCGGGAGAAGATGGTGTGGGTATAGGTGACTCATACAAGAAACTCAGCAGTGAATGGAAAGGCTGTGACTGGTGAGGGTGAGAGAGAAAGCCCAGCAGGACTTCTCAGGCCAGCAGAGACCCAGCGGGTGCACATGCTGAAGGGGGAAGGCGGTAGAAAGGCAATGATGATGATGATACAGGAGATACTTGCTGTCAAATCTCTATCCTGACAAACACAAGCCACTGGATTGTGAACTGGGTCTCTGACTGCCCGAAGTATCTTGGAATTTGATTTTCTCCTAAGTAGTGTTCTCTCTTCATCTTGTCCCTTCATTCTCCAGATGGTTTGCTTGAACTTTTGATTCTCTTCTTTGGGCTGCTGGCTCTTGTCCAGGTATGACCTGCCATTCAGCCTGAAGGTTTCCTGAGGCCTGTACTTAGGTGGCTCCCCGTGCTCATGACACCCTTCCCTTTCCTCTTTCTCCTTCTCATTTCTTTGGGTGCCTTAATGTTTCCCAGACACATCACATTCTCTGAGGAGACTTCGTTGCCACCCCCACTCCCGCCTCTCAGTCTCAACTGGGCAACTTACTTCTGAGCTTCCACAGCCCCCCAGTCCATTCCATTTCAGAGGACTAATCTCTCAGCATTAGTGCTCACTCCTCATCTGCTGCAGCTTCTAGACTATGAGCTCCTTGAGGGCTGTACTAGTCTACTCAGGCCATGACAAATTACCACAGACTGGGTGGCTTAAGCAATAAACAGTGATTCTATCACAGGTCTGGGGGCTAGAAGTCCATGGTCAAGGTGCCAGAAAATTCTGTTTCTGATGAAGGCTTTCTTCCTGGCTTGTAGACAGCCCCCTTCTTGCTGGGTCCTCAAATGACCCTTCCTAGGTTCTTGCCAAGAGGGGTGGGGAGGGTATCTCTAGTATCTCTTCCTCTTCTTGTAAGGACACCAGTCCTATCGGATCAGAGCACCATTCTTATGATCTTATTTATTTATTTATTTTAAAGATTCTATTTATTTATTTGTCAGAGAGAGAGCAAGAGTGAGAGAGCGAGTGAGCTACAAGCAGGGTGGAGGGCAGAGGGAGAAGCAGGCTCCCCAGTGAGCAGGGAGTCTGATGCGGGGCTCAATCTCAGGACGCTGGGATCATGACCCAAGCTGAAGGCAGGCGCTCAACTAACTGAGCTGCCCAGGTGTCCCCTTATGATCTCATTTAAACTTAATTAGCTCCTTAACAACCAATCACTCAAAACAGTCACACTGGGAGTTAGGGCTTTAACATATGAACTCGGGGGGGCGGGGGGCACAGTCCAGTCCATAACAAGGGCTCAACTTGTACCTTTATCCTTGTCACCCCAAGTTCAAGGACCATATCTGATACATGGTAGATACTCGAGAAATGTTAAGCAAAAATAAATGAGTGAGTTCCAACTCTTGCTATTCCTGTACTTCATTCATCCAACAAATACGTATTCACTACATTCCCGGCACTGTGCCCAGGGCTTGGGAGGCAATGGCGATCACTTGAGATGTTGACAGTTTATGGGGGTGACACACATTAATGAAATAATTTTTACAGAATATCAGAATTTCAAGGACCTTAGAAATCCCGTCACTTAAAGATAAGAAGAGAAGGGTCCCAAAACATATAACACTTATGACAAGATTATGCAGCATTCCCTCAAAATTCCACACCTCTCATTTCTCCATATCCAGGGCCCTCCCCTCACCATCACAAAGGAGGGTAGGAGGTGGAGGAAGATAAAGAAGTTCATTCAGTAACTTCATTTACCAAAAACGTTGTGGGCTCTCTCCTTGACAGACAAACTCTTTGTTTGCTTACTTTTTTGATTTTGGTTTTTTAAGAGCTGGTATATTTAATTAGTGGTGGGAACTCAAAAGACATTTACTGAGAGTCTAACATGTCCAAAGGCACATAGGTATATAGTGAATAGAATATGATCAGTAAACACAGGTTGCTCATAAAGGGGGCAGCATTGGAATTAGGGACAGATTTTTATGAGTTAGAAAATAGTTAAAGAACTATAATAAATGGGAAAAATACAATCTGAGAATTCTGATAAAGAGAATAGGTGGGGAAAAAAGTCAGAGCTTTAAATTAAAAGAAAGTAATCCAGTGTCTTCAAATGGGAACACATGCGGAATTTATGTTGGGACATATGTAGAAGATAAAAGAGATGATCTAGGTCAAGATTTTACCTGAGAAGTAACGAAACAAACATGGTTTTCCTGTGCCCTTTTGACCCCATGGAGAGCGATAGCATCTTGGGTGTTTGTACTAAGGACCCACCAGGTTGGTGGGAATAGGCATTAGTCACGTGGCAAGAAGAAAGCTTGATCAAGTGAGCCCGAGATAGGACTTGGAGATAGCATCAGAAGCCATACTGAAGTTGGGCTGGTCCCACCCACACCAGACACAACACCTGATATCTTTTGGTTCCAGGCAGCTCAGGTCTCCCACAGGTGTGCTGACCTCCAGCGTCAAGGAGTATTCACACCCTGTGTTAGTCAGTGTTCTCCAGAGAAACAGAACCACCAGGCTGCTTGTAATATATATCTATCTGTATATACAGTGTTGCATAGATACATTGTGTGACACAGATGTAGTGTAATATACATGTATGGAGAGAGAGGAGGGAGTAAGATTAACTGTACAGCAACAGGAGTTGAGGCAGCAGCTCAAGTCTGAAGGCGATCTGGTGGCAGAATTCCCTCTTCCTCAGAGGATCTCAGCCTTTTCTCTTATGACTGGATTGATTGATCAATCAATTGATCTCTTTTCTCTCTGATTGGATGAGACCCACCCAATGAAAAGCAATCTGCTTTGCTTAAAATCCACTGATGTAAATGTTAATCACATCTTTAAAAATACCTCACTTCAGGGCAGATGGGTGACTCAGTCTGTTAAGCATCTGACTCTTGATTTTAGCTCAGGTCATGATCTCAGGGTCATGAGATCCAGCTCACATCAGGTTCCACACTGGACAGGGATCCTGCTTAAGCTTCTCTCTCCCTCTCCTGCTGTCCCTCCCCCGCTGCACACGTGCTCTCTCTCTCTTTCTCTCTCTCAATAAAAACAAAAGCAAATAAACAAAACATAACAAAAACCCTCAGTGCAACATCTTGCTTAAACAGACAGTGTTGTTTAACCAGAAACTGCGTACCATGGCCTAGCAAAGGTGACACATAAAATTACCCATTACATACCCATTACATACAAACCAAACCCAGCATTCTGGTTTGAAAAGCAGATTATTGGTTACTTATTCAAATTTCCAGCTTAGTAAGAAATCAAAAGAAATGAACTATTTACACCCAAAAGAAAATACAAAATACTTACTCTTTATGTGGAAAAATGTACAACCTCTGTAGCAATTCAAGAAATATAATATAAGTAACATTAGGGTAACATCCTTATTGGATAAATAAAGATTAAATGCACACATGCACACACACTCACTCACACACAGCCTGTGCTGGTGGGTCTGGAAGAAACCAAAACCACATTTGTGGGGCTCTGCCAATGGACAGACCCTTCCCAACTGCCATCCACCCACGAGGCTAGAGCTGTAAGTTACCTCTAGTACCATAGAGGGGATGCCTTCTGGAATAGGCTTAAAAGGTCTCCAAGCTCCCCCATGGCCCAACCCCTTATTTCACAGCAGAGTTATCAGAAACAGACAGAAAGCAGGAATGTGTTACGGTGCCAGTGGCTCAGATGGTTAAGCATCTGCCTTCAGCTCAGGTCGTGATCCCAGGGTCCTGGGATCGACCCCGAATCAGGCTCCCAGCTCATCGGGAAGCCTGTTTTGCCCTCTCCCTCTGCCTGCCACTCCCCCTGCTTATGCTCTCTCTCTCTCTCTCTGTCAAAAAATACACAGAATTAAAAAAAAAAAAAGAGGTTTAGAAGAAATAAAAGAAAGAAAGCAGAAATGTGTTGTATTCTCCCATCAGCTAGGAAACCTGGGGCCTGAGGCAGAGCACAAATATACAAAATGTCCTAAGTATACAAAATATACAGAATAAAAAATATAAACATATTTTTAAAATATTAAAAAGTATACAAAATATCATAGTGGCCTGACTCAGGGTGACACTGGAGAGTAGCCCCATATTCAGTCTTACGTGGGCCGCAGAGCAAACTCAGCTGGTCTGGCCCACGTCTTCCTCTCTGACCTCCCTTCCATCGCCACACTGGCCAGCTTGCTGCTCCCGCCACAACTGAGCAGCACCCCCTCTCACCCCCCCGCCCCCGGCCTCTGTCCCTGCCGGGCCTCTGCCAGGAGCACTCTTAGGTAGCCTCAGCATGTGGTTCCCTCATCTTCTTCAGGCCTCTGTCTGATTGCCACTTTCAGGGACGTGTTCCCTGGCCACCCATATAAAACAGCCAGATAACCCCCCACCCCCAAGCCCTTACTCAGCTTGCCATCCTAGCCCTCAATGTATGTTCCCATAAGGCAATAAGGGGCCCAGGATGTGTGTCTGTGAGGATTTCCGTGGACGTTTTGGCTTGGGCAGGAACAGTGATAGGCAACCCCAAGAATGTGTCACCAAAGCTCCTAAGCTCAATGGGATGGTGGTGGATCCAAACGGCATGGGGCTCTGGCTTTTGGACCTAGAGCTACCACATACCACATGACTGGGGACCAGTCACTGCACGTCCTCAAGTCTGTTTCATCTGTAAAGGGGAGTCAGTTAGGTCTGTCACCTCAGGGTTACTCTAAGGACTGTGTGAGCCAAAGTATGGGAAAGGGCTTGACTACCATAAAGCTCAGTGAACCCTTAAGGGCCCGGGGCCTCACCTCTGCCATCTTGTGATGCGCGCAGATAGGAAGCTCCTGCACAGACCCTCGTCCCACCAGGTAGCCCTTAGCGCTCGTCTCTGCCCAGAGGACAGTTACACCATGCACAGCATCTGGGGACACTCCCCAGATCTGCCAACTAGAGAGTAAACAGCGCCACCACCACCACCACCCCCGCCCAAGGAAAGGAGATAGTGTAGGATGTCTCGCTCTGTCAGAGCCCTCACTGGTTTCATGCCATCGACAGGATGGGACACAGCAAGTTCCTAAGTTGTCTTTGTAATCAAAGTTCTAGGATGTGGCCAGGAATCATCTTGGAGCTTAATTCAGCAGCTTTCATGATACCTTTTTTTCTTCTTTGTCAATCTCAAGAAAGCATTTTCTTGTCCCCAGTTCTCTGGACTCTCTCTTATTTTCCAGATTTTTCTCTGCTGCAGAATCCTTAAATTTCCTGAGCTGTGACTCATCTGGATCTGTAGGCTTGAGTTCCACTTAAACAAAAATTAGAACAGTGGTTCTCAACACTGACAGAGGAGGTTTGACAGCTCTTGATGGCTGGGTCCCACTCCTGATATGGGGTGTGGCCTGGGAGGTTTTAAGTTCCTTGGGTGACCCCAAAGTGTAGTCGGGCTGAGAAACCCCGAGTTAGGTGATCTCATGCCAACATTTTCACTATTCTGGGCAGCAACTCATTCTTTTCACTGCTCCCTTCCCAATGCAGAGGCCAGTCTCTTTGATGGAGACTCAATTCTGTTAGCAGAGGCTCAGCCTTACCTTAATCATTGGCTAACATTGCCCGCTCTCCTCCAAACAGAGTATTTCCCTCTGCACACTCCCCTGACTCAGAATACACTTTTAAGGAAAGCTGCTTGTCTTTAGCACCTTTCTTGTGTCCCTCATTTAAACCTTGACCTCCTTCGCACATTTCTCACAGGACCATTTGATTCTTTAGAATGTACCCTTGAGTTTATGCTTCTCCCTCCATATTTTGTATGTATTTTTGTGAAATCTGAGTTCTGCACACGGCGAGGAGCTGGGGCTACAGAAGTACACGAGATAGAGTCCCTCCCTGTAGAGTTCACTGTGAAGTGCAAGAAGTGGTCAAAAAGCCCCCTCCCCTGACACACACACACACACACACACACACACACAGAGGAGCTGGTGCACATTCTAATAAAGGCAGAGGAGAAGGATTGACTTTGGTGGGAAGGGGGGAAACCTGGGAATTCTTTCAGGAGGAGGTGATATTTGATCTGGGCATGCAAGGCATTGTCTGGGTAAGAAGAAGTATGGAGAATGGTGGCAAAGACTTTCCAGACAGATGGGACGGCAGGAACAAAAGCATAGAGGGGTAATGGGCAACTGCACGAAGTGGGGGACAGAGTGGGAGCTGAGGCTGGAAAGAAGTTTTTTTGTATACGTGACTATTACCAATGCCATGAAAAAGATTGTTTTCATTAGCTGGTTGAAAAAAATCCCTTCCTCATCCAAATTAAGTTCTCTGTCTTCTCAGAGATGACGTAATCAGCAGAGTGAAGTATAACTTACCAGGCGTTCTGCTATTAGCGAAGTCAGGGCGACTGCCGCAGATGCCTTGGCTCATCTCAGGTTCCCATCCCTGTTCTATCCAACCTCTGAGAGAGTTCTGAGAGGGGCCTTGGGAAAACATTATCCACTTACAAGCTGACCAGGAACTATAACAAGGAAACATCAAGATATACCATAGGTCAGAACTTTTCATTCTGTCCAGGAGGATAAGATGGACATAGGTGGTTCAAAAAATGTACATCCTCTGTTCAGTCCAAAAAGCTGTCTCAAATGTCAACCTATATCATCATAACTTGGGACATGTCTATATTTTCTTCATAACTTCCCAGAGGCTCATTCAATAAATAAGTGGGCATCAGTTTTGTGTAAGGTCCATGCTAACTCCTATGTGAGGGGAAAGATAAGCTTGGACCTTCTATATCTAACCCAAATTCCGGGCAATGGAAACCAAATCTTTCAATGAGGCACCGTGGCCAACCTTGCTTCCAACGCTTGGAGCCGGACCCTCTGGATTTGACTCCCGAATCCGTCATGTTTACAGGTTATTTGGACCCCCTTTGTCTTAGTTTCCTCATGTATGAAATGGGGATAATAATATTTTCTTTTTTTTAAGATTTTATTTATTTATTTGACAGACAGAGAGCACAAGTAGGCAGAGAGGCAGGCAGAGAGAGAGGGGGAAGCAGGCTCCCCGCTGAGCAAAGAGCCTGATGTGGGGCTCAATCCCAGGACCCTGGGATCATGACCTGAGCTGAAGGCAGAGGCTTTAACCCACTGAGCCACCCAGGCGCCCCTGAAATGGGGATAATAATAAAGCCTACTGTGTAATATAACACATGTAATATGAGTTAGCACAGTACCTGGCAGTGTCCTATTCAAGCAGTATTCCTTATTCCTATCACCAGCTGTGTGCCATACTTCATTTCAAGACTAACAATCAGGGGCCCCTGGCTGGCTCAGTCAGTAGAGCATGCAACCCTTGATCTGGGGATTGTGAGTTCGAGCCCCATATTGAGTGCAGAGCCTACTTTAAAAAAACTAATTATCGGGGCGCCTGGGTGGCTCAGTGGGTTAAGGCCTCTGCTTTCGGCTCGGGTCGTGATCCCAAGGTCCTGGGATCGAGCCCCACATCGGGCTCTCTGCTCAGCGGGGAGCCTGCTTCCCTTCCTCTCTCTCTGCCTGCCTCTCTGCCTACTTGTGGTCTCTGTCTGTCAAATAAATAAATAAAATCTTAAAAAAAATTAATCATACGCCTAGTTGGTAAAAAGATGCCAATGCCATGTAAAATATTTCATGATATATCATAACTTGAGTTTAAAAGCGGGTTACAGTGTCTTCTCTTTCTCTTGTTCTCTCTCTTTCAGAGGACAAGGGTATATGCAGGTGGCAAAGATGATTTCTGAGTGGTTTTTATTTTCTCCTTTATATTTAAATCTATTTTATAAATTTAACATGGGTGTACAAGTAAAAAAAAAAGTTATTTAAAAATATTAAACAACATCAGTGAGAAAGACTTTAAGGATCTTACAAGTCTTTTCTAGGCTACAATCTAAGCGTCACGATGGGAGAGGCAGTGGCATCTCAGAGCCTGTCTCTGTTTCAGGCTGGCCGGAAGCCAAAGAAAGAACTGGGTCAAGATCAATTTCCATCCCAAGCCCTTCTTTCGATTTCCCCTGCTTCCCTTTTCAGACACCCATCAAGGGGGCTAATTCTTTCCTTCATCCCACTAACATGTGTTGTGAGCCCACAGGGGCCCAGCAGTGTACGAGGTGCTAAAGATAAACAAGACTCTGCCCTTGGTGGCCTGTGATCTCATCCCGCCCCCGCTGACCATCAGCTGTGATGGCCTGTAGCCCAGAGACAGCGCTCCCTTCAGTCTTAGCCCTTCCCCACTCTTGGGACCCATTCCTGGGACCCGCTCCTGCCAAGATCCTGCCTCTGCTCCTCTTTGCTACAGATGACGTCATCCTTATGCATCAGTCCTGATGTGAAGGTCTCAGTCGAGTCCTGGCAGAAAACAGCATTGTACTCAAAAGGGCTTAACGGATAGTTGAATAAAGAGACTACTCCTTGAGCTGGGGGCAAGGTTCAGGGAATGCCTGATGCCAATGTCCTCAAGGACAAGGACCAGTGGGAAGCCATGACTACCCACGGTCCCGGAGGGAAAACAGTGTTATCGGAGCCTATTGAAGATACTGTGATTATCTGTAATCACAGAGCGACACGTTGCTAGTCCCAGAGACTGAAGCAGGAAGAGAATGAGGAATAAATGTCCTGCTCTGTCATCTCCTGCCAGTGCCCATTTGGCTGAATTCACAAGCCAGAGAGCAAGGATGCCCAAGCAGTGCACTTCGCCTGGCAATGTGTTACTCTCTGTAGTAACAGGTTTGTGGCAGACCCAAGTTAGGAATGGCATCAGTTTCAAGTCAGGGTGAACTAATGGGGCAGATATTTTGAGGCAGACCTCCTCAGACCAGTGGTTCTAAGTAATTAATTCTCCAAATCCCTGCTCCTGTGGGTACTGGGGAAATGCTCAGCAAAAGGCTAAATTAATGCACTGAAACTTCATAGTTTTGTTATTTTCTTTCACATTTTATTCTGACTATATTGGAAGGAGAGCTGAAGGGTGAGGGGTGCTTTGTTGATTTGAGTACCTAGACTTCTTCCAGCACACCTCTGTTTTAATTTTCATCATAGACAGAAACAATGACCAGAAGTACACAAAGATGTCAACAAGTAAGACAGGCATGACGGTAAATGCATGCACACCATTCTAAAGATGTCTCTTCCCCACACCTGAGCTGTGGTGACTTTCAGCAGCAACCCCCACCCCTGGCCAAGGAGCAGGAGGCAGAAGGTGGGGGACCAGAGGAGGGGAGAACTGGAAAGGAAAAGATGGCGGGGCTCCCAGTTCCCGCTGGGTGAAAGAGGTTGTGAGAGGTGACAGGGAACAGTTTTCCTCCTCTTCAAGTCCCCAGCGTCTTCCTCTCCTACATCCATAAGCAGCATAGCTTGGTCCTGGCTCACTAGTTCAGCTTCTTTCCCTGGACTGCTTCCTTTGCAGTAATTTCCTTACCTTAAAAGGAAACTTCCTTGTCGGTTCAGTAATGGCAGTGGCTCCGTCCATTTGGGTACCCTTTAGAGTCTGAAGAGTACTTTTGCGCACATTATCTCATTTATTCCTCACATTCCTTGTCAGGTCACAGGACTTTACTGTCTATTGGTTGAGGAAACCGAGTCTCAGGGAACAAGTTGCCTAAAGGCACAGAGTAGGCAGTGTCAGAGTTTCTCTGTCTCTCAGACAGGTTCCCCTCACCCCCACCCCCCCACCAAAATGATGAAAGGTTTCTTCAAGAAAGAAGATAGCAAGGACATAAAGGTGGACTGAGGTAGTTATAAAGGAGGAAACTGTGTATACTGAGGACAAAATGAACCAGGGCGTGACTCTCAAAGTGTTGTCTCCAGACCAGCGGCATCGGTGGCATCTGGGAAAGTCTTACAGGTGCAGATTCTTGAGCTGCAGCCCAGACCCACTGAATTAGAAACATCAGAGGAAAAGGGAAGCTCAGGAACCTAGGTTTGAACAAGGAAGCCATTGAATCCAGGGGAAAGGAGGTGTGTGTGGTAGTAGCCTGAAGAGAACGCTGGTGTTAGCATAAGGGGGAGCTGGGAAGGTAGTCAGTGATTTCTGTGGATTCTAGAGCTGGTGCAGGTGGGTGAATGAAGACTGTCCAAGGCCACTGCAGCTTCGTTTGTAATAGCAGAAGACTAGAAACAACCCAAATTTCCACCCGTAGAGGATGGTCACATGAGTTATGGTGTATCCATGTAGGGAACACTACACGGTATAAAACAGAATAAGAAGCTTGGGATATTTACATATGGGAAAAAAGCTAAAGTATATTTAAATAAAAGAAGAAAAAGTAGGAACATTTATATAATACATTATATTTGGATTTTAAAAAGGGGAGAACTAAGAACATATATTTGTAGTTACTTGTATCTCCAAGAAAGTCTGGACAGAGACAAGAAGTCATTCAGAGAGGTACCTGTGGATGGGGAATGGGGTAGTTGGAAGCAAAGACAGGATGTCAGCTTTCCACTGCATTTCCTTTCCTAAAATTGTCTGCCCCTGTAAATAGATTACCTCTTCAGGAAAAAATAAAAAATAAATAAAAATGGCCATTGGTGCAATTTGGCAGCAGAAGAACATGTTTCCCATGGAACAAGGATGGCGGGCATCCAAGGGCAAGTCCAACCTCTTTCTGCAGAATGGGCCAACAGAGGTCAAGGGTACCAAGCTCTGCCCACACTCACTGTCTCTGCCCTCCAGCTCAAACTCTCCCAGAATGGCTGAAGTGCTTTGGGGGAGTTTAGACTTCTTAGTAAGGACAGTAAGTCCTTACTAAGTCCTTAGTAAGGACAGGACCAGCAGTTCTCAGCCTTAGCTACGCATTAAAATCATCCGGGAAGGGGGCACCTGGGTGGCTCAGTGCTTAAGCCTCTGCCTTCAGCTCAGGTCATGATCTCAGGGTCCTGGGATCGAGTCCCGCATCAGGCTCTCTGCTCTGCGGGGAGCCTGCTTCCTCCTCTCTCTCTGCCTCTGCCTGCCTCTCTGCCCACTTGTGATCTCTCTCTGTCAAATAAATAAAATCTTAAAAAAAAAAAAATCATCTGGGAAGCTTTTGGCTCAATGGGTTACGTGTCTGCCTTAGACTCAGGTTGTGATCCCAGGACCCTGAGATTGAGTCCCACATTGGGCTCCCTGCTTATCAAGGAGCCTACTTCTCCCTCTCCCCTGACTACCCACTCATGCTCTCTCTCGTGTGCTCTCTCTCTCTCAAATAAATAAATAAAAATCTTAAAATACATAAATAAAAAATAAAATAATCTGGGAAGCTTTTATAAATGCCAACTGCCAAGCCCTATTCCCAGAACAGCCAAATCCAAATCTCTGAGGCGGGCTCTGGGCATTGGCACTTTTTGGAGCCCCTCAGTTATGATTCTAAACCACACCTGCCGGGTGAGCACATTAATCCAGAAAGCTGGAGAGAGGAGGCAAGGCTATCCAATAGCTTAAAAAAGAAGAAATAACACAACCCATCAAACCTGTCACGATCAAATCTGACTAAAAAAAATTTTTTTTTATCTGTCTTGATTGGAATCTGTGATGAACCTGTTGCTCCCCGCCTTGGCAGCCCAATTCTGAAGCGAAGCCCTGATATCACCAAATCGCCACTGACCAAGTCAGAGCAGCTTCTGAGGATAGACGACCATGATTTCAGCATGAGGCCCGGCTTTGGAGGTATGAGACGAGCACTCATGGTGGGGTCTGTCCGACTGTCCACGGGTAGAGGTCAAACCAAGGGACCACACACGCTTTGTTCTCCCCCAATCAGGTCTGCCTCCATTATGCTTGGGGGCCAAGATGGAGCCCACAGGTCTTCTGAGTATCGCCCCTGTCCAGCCCTGCCCATTTCCAGGCTAGCTAGCTGAGCTGTCCTCAGGCTGCTGCTCCTGACAAGGAAGGCTGGGGATCGGTGAGGCCAGCAGCTGGCTGTGGGAAGGCCCATGGGAAGACTTCAGGAAGACTCCTGAAAACGCTCTGAAATAACAACCTTGGACAAAATTCGCCCTCATCTGGGAGCTGGCAGACGGAACTCGGGTGTCAATCCGAGGGCAGACTGCGGTCTGCTGGGTTTAATTAAATGAAAATAGCTTGAGAAAATAATGAACTAGTGCAGAGGGCTGTCTGCTTAGCCTGCAGCTGGCAGATTTCAGCCCCTTCTGTGTCAAATAGGGTTTTCATCCATATGGGTTTCTTCCTGGAATAAAATATTTGTTTCAGAAATCGTCCTCATTTTTTTATTTCTCCCAGCCACATTCACCCGAAGAATAAACAGGTTCTAGAAGGGAGTCTCTATCAAATCTGTAACCTGCTGCTGTTGGATCCAAACCCACTTCCATCCAGGATAATCCAAGTGTGGCCCATGCCTGCCCACATCCGGGGGTGGGGGGAAGGGGCAGCAATCTATTCCCTTGATAATGCTTTCCTTCTCTTGATGAATATTATGTTTTCGTGGCCTAGAAATGCAAAAAAAAAAAAAAAAGATTCTAATGTTTCCAGGCCACCCTGATGCCTCACGTTCCCCTTGCAAGCGACTCTGTCATGCGGCGAAGATACAAATCTGTGGGCTTGGCAAATGGCCTACCTGTGGCTTTGGTTCTGGGTGCCTCAGGGCCAGACAGAGGCATTGGCTTCCATGACAGAATCAGGAGGCAGATATAAAGAACAGAGTGGACGACCCTGTGCTAGGGAGTCACTCCTCAGATCAGACCCAGCTTTGAGCTAGGTCATCCCTGTAGCTTTCCGTGAGCACGTGTAACCAGAGAAGAAAGCTTCATAGAAACCTCATCCTTAGAAACACCTGAATGATTCACACAAAAAACTTAAAAACAAACAAACAAAAGCTCTTTGTTGGAGTATTCCAGGGAACCAGCCCCAGGATTCAACCCCCCGATTGCTGGTTTCACTTCAGCTTGACATGTGGGGACGCCAAACCTTCAAATCCGGCAGGAAGCGGAGGAAACGGGTTCCAGGGGGGATGCTCTTCCTACCTGTAGTAAAAATGCAACTAAAAAGGATAAATGTCTTGCCATGCCCCATTTGCAGGTCCGGCCATTCCTGTGGGTGTGGATGTGCAGGTGGAGAGCCTGGACAGCATCTCAGAAGTCGACATGGTAAGCGCCTCTGTTGCCGGGGCTGTGAGCACGTGGAGTCACATGGGGCCTGTGCTGGGTCAAGAGGTCCACATACCTGAATTCACAGGGTCTCACAACTCCCCAAGCCGTGGGAATGCCCATACTCATTTTACAGGTGGGTAAGGAAGGTGAAGACACTTGCCAATCAAAAAAGAAAATAAAAACAAAGTAGAAGGTATAAAAGAAGTGATTGTAAGAAATAAAGGTGTCTACTGATCATCAAAAAAAAAAAAAAAAAAAAAAGACACTTGCCAAAAGCCACCCAGTTGGTATGAGACAGAGCTGGATGCCAAAGTTGATCTCCCTTCAGTGCCTAGGCTCTTTCCCCTGGCATGTGTCCTCGGGCAAAAGCTCTCCAACAGAAACAGTAGGGTCCAAGGTCGCAGCTGTCACATAGCCAGATATTCCACAGCTGTAGATCCTGTATCTGGCTGTGGAAATGCAGAACTGCTGAAAAGGGTCCTTTTTTTCCCCCCTCTTCAGTGGGTTTAGGTGGGAAAATGGAATGTTCTACAACTCCCTGACTTACAGGACTGTTTACAGCCTCACTTAGTTTGGGGTCTCCAAAAGGCAGACTTGAGAGAAGCATTCTAGCACAAGTAGTTTATTTGGGAAATGATCCCCCAAAACCCACGAAGAGCGTAGGGCAAGGTGAGACAGGGATGGGGAGGAAGGGAAAAGTCCTGTGTCCTCAAACCAGTCACTGCTGTGAATCTCAGACCCATTAAGGGAACTTTGAGAATCAGCAAAGAACACAGCTCCAGGTTATCTCAGCTGAGGGGCCAAGAAGCTGGGGTGCTCATCTAGCCCTCCCCACCCCTTTCTCCCCCCAACACACTGAGGGTCAGCAGTGCTGACAGCAGCACCTTGTCAGGGTGGAGACAGATGCCAGGGGATGGGTTGGGACTCAGGGACATGGATTTTGCTAGAAGTGTCTGGCTGAGTCCCTCCCCTACAGTCCTCCTACCGCAGCAAACCCCAGGGACTGGAGGTAAGACCTCCATGTCTCTGTGGTTTCATCCCCAGCCGGGTGACGGCTCCATGGGGTGCCCAGGGTCCTGCTGACACCCAGGTAGTTTCACTGTGTGGGGTTCCCCTCTCTGCCCCTCCCCTCCAGGACTTCACGATGACCCTCTACCTGAGACACTACTGGAAGGACGAGAGGCTGTCCTTCCCGAGCACCAACAACCTCAGCATGACCTTTGACGGCCGGCTAGTGAAGAAGATCTGGGTCCCAGACATGTTTTTTGTGCACTCCAAGCGTTCCTTCATCCACGACACCACCACGGACAACGTCATGCTGCGAGTGCAGCCCGACGGGACCGTGCTCTACAGCCTGCGGTAAGGCCGCCGCTGCCTCTTTTCCTGGAGGTCCTCTCACTCCCGAAGCAGGCAGAGCGTTCCTCTAACCGCAAGGGCAGTTTTGCTTTTTGGCTTTGAATAGCTAGTTTTTTTGGTGGTTGTTGTTTTGTTTTTCTTCTTTTTATTTTTTATTTTTATTTTTTACATTTTTTTAAATTGAGTTCTATTAGTCGCCATACATCATTAGTTTTTGATGTAGTGTTCCATGATTCATTGTTTTCGGGTAACACCCAGTGCTCCATGCAGTCCGTGCCCTCCTTCATACCCACCACCAGATAGCAAGTGTGTAACGTCTCAGGAGGCACCACATTCTCTACATCAATGGAAAGCTATTTTATGCGGGAGAAAAAAACTGTATAAGAAATTATTTAGCCTCAAAAACACATTTGTGGAAATTTTGCAAGCTGATGCTTATGATTTATGCTTTACCCTGCAGGTTATATTTTAATTTAAAAACTTCAATCCAAGTTTTATTGAGTTGTATTTATTTGGCCTCTAGTGGGAAGCGGCGAAATAGATAATGTGTTCTTCTGAAAGACTTACCTCCTTAGATGTCTCAATTCCCATCTTTCAGGTATATTTTAGAACTTGGGCTTAAAGAAATTCTCTTTCCTTACCAGGCCAGCCACAGGCATGTTTGCTATCCTTTCTCACCACAGGGTCCTCCTGAGAAACTCTGGAAATCCTGGGCCGCTTTATGACTTTGAACGGTCTTCTGAGCATCACTTTTAAAATAGGAAGAATATAGGCCTTTTTTCTTAGGAGTTCAGGTACCTTAGAAATGTTCAAGTGCTGATTTATCACTGACCTGGGGAAGCGTTCCTTCAACACAGGTGCCACAGCCTGGCTTTTACTGCTCGGTCAGCTTTAGAAACTCATGGTTTAGGAATTCATGGTCCCACTGGGGAGGATGCGTTCAGATGAGCCACAGGCCTTCATGGAGAAGGGGCTCTGTTTCTTGTGATTTACCCCTCCTGTGCTGTGCTCATGGTGCATTTCAGTTTTTTTAAGATTTTATTTATTTATTCGGGGGGGTAGATAGCGAGAGGGAGCACGAGTAGGGGGAGGGGAGAGGGAGAAGCAGGCTCCCCACTGTGCTGAGAGCCCGACACAGGACTTGATTCCAGGACCCTGGGATCATGACCTGAGCTGAAGGCAGATGCTTAATGGACTGAGCCCCCCAGGTGCCCTGGTGCATTTCAGTTTTAAAGACTTTGTTCCAGTAAAGATAAATCCATATACCAGTGTCTAAGTAAGGGATGCCTGGACAGGAGCATGGTGTATCTTTTGAATCAAAGATGGCAGTGTTGAAGCTGAATTTCTGCCTCCACCCTCCAAAGGAATATTTATGATGATTCCTCAGTACTCACTCTGGCTTGGGATCTAAACAATTAGTTACTAGACACAGAGTGGAGGTATGGGGTTTTCCTCCCCATACTTGAGATGCCTTCTGCCATAGAAGTGCTCAGGAGGGTCAAGGAGGTACAATCCCTTCCCCCAACTGTGTTGAGGTGGTTCTTCCTGGAGTCCTCCCATCTGAGGCAGGCTGTCAAGGCATCCTACAACTCTAAAACCACCCACAAAACATCACAACCTGATGGCACCACCAGGGACACAAAAGACTAGACCATAAGGCACGTGATCACTGGTGTGCTGGTGAATGTTTAACAACTGGTTGGCTGTGGTAAATGTATGAATACATATGTGTATGTCAGCTTGCTATAAACATGGCTGATAAAAGGATATAGAACATATGAGTCACAAGTAAAATAATCTGTGTGATACTTTTTTAAAAAAAGATTTTATTTATTTACTTGAGAGAGAGTGAGAGAGAGCATGAGAGGGGCGAGGGTCAGAGGGAGAAGCAGACTCCTGGCTGAGCAGGGAGCCTGATGCGGGATTTGATTCTGAGACTCCAGGATCATGACCTGAGCCGAAGGCAGTCACTTAGCCAACTGAGCCACCCAGGTGCCCCTATGTGATACTTTCTGTTATAAATCCCATACACTTATAATTTAAGTATGATTTCCTATTTCTTATAAAATCCTGAGCCTGATGAAGTCTAGCCCAGCACACGCTGCATGTGATCACAGAGGCGCTACATAAGAAGCAAGGAAGTGGAAAACCCCCCTGTGTGTTCAGAATAAAAGTTGTCCGTGAGCCCCCTTGTGGCTAAAAACAGATGCTTTGATTTTTCATCACAAATAAAATCATAGGTTTGTTTTAAGTGGAAAAAAAAAAGAGTCCTTGATTGCGGGCTGAGGAAAAGATTTGTAAGATTGTTCTTGGGAGAGAATTGTGGGCATGAGCCTTCCCTGGCATTTCTCCAAGAGCTTGGAACATGTGTGCCTACCAGTGGGGGATGTTGTGCAGTTGGAGGGCATGAGAAGAGCCATCTAAACACCCTGGGGGTGTGGTGGGGCCAGTCTGTATCCCCGGGTTGCTGGGAATAGTTGGGTGTGTGTAGAAGGGACAGCAGGTGAGTAAACCAAGAAGCAGAGTGGGGAGTTGAGACTGGTTAAGACAGCCCTGAAGCCTGGAGGGGTCCAGCAGGGGAAATGAAGAACCCAGGAAAGTAAGTAATCAGCTTCAACCATGTAGAGCATGGTTACCGGAGAGCATCAACGAGAGAGCATGAAGCCACCTACCAAGGAATTGTCCTGCCTCCTGTCACTTCCGCCTGTGCAGGAGCTGATCAGAGATGGGCAGGAATTGACCACTCAAATGTCAACTTCATACCTTAGCCAGGAGGAGGAGTGGAAGTCTTAATGTGAATCAACTTTGAAGTGTTGCTTAATATCTTGGACCAAATTCTTTTCATTTTTGAATTGAGACATGCTTTGTTACCTAAAAGGGTTTTGACTATTACATGAGACATAAGCAAAAAAAACCACAGGGTGTGCCAAGTTTCCATCCAAGACAAGGGAAGAGCCAATGAATCAAAAAAAAAAAAAAAAAAAAGTGGAGGGGCAGAAGTAGAGGGAAAGAGAGAGAATCTTAAGCAGGCTCCATGTCCAGCACAAAATCCAACGAGGGGCTCGATCTCACTACCCTAAGATCAGGACCTGAGCAGAAATCAAGATCGGACGCTTACCTGACTGAGACACCCAGGTGCTCCCCAATAAATCAATTTAATGAGATACGGAGAAACAAATATAAACATAGTATGGATTAAATCACAAACTGTGCTTGTTTAATGTATGGTATGTGAGTTACAGGTTGGAAAAACATCAAGTCAGGGTGCAAAGAACCAGTCTGGTATCTGTGATTCTAAAAATATCTGTTTCTGATACAAAGAGAAGAGATATTCAGTCCTTTTGTTGACAGCAAAATCTTCCTGCATTTGAGATTTCATTAGCTCTAAGTCACCAAACTTAGTTTCTAGTTTGTTCCTTGCTGGGGATGCCATTAGGCATAGTAGAAATGGAAGCCCACCCATTAGGTTCCAAGTCAGCTGCTATCCTGACTCCTCTCCACTCAAGACACCCTGTTTATCAGGATTTCCAGAGGAGATAAGGCTACCCAGCCACAAGCAATAGAAAATCCCTTTGAGAATACAACTATTCCATACCCAACTGGAATGGGGAAAATAAAGGCAGATATTTGATAATTCAGTTTCAAGAAAGCTCTTTCCCCTTGAAATCTCCATTTTAATTAAAAGTGATTTTTTTTTTTCCTTTTGGCCATAAATCATCCAGACAGTTTCTACAACTTATACATAGCAATTTTGTGTGTGTGTGTGGTTGAAGGAAAAATAGTTTGTTCAGTATCAGCCAGTAACTCTTAATCATGTCCTGCCATGAGATTCCCCACAGGATGGGGAATCTTTCGTCTATGACTAATGATCTGTGTTTGTTTTCCCTTTGATGCGGAAGCCCATTTTCCCATGTAAACTCTGAAACAAAACCACCAGAGGCCAGCAAGTGTTTGCATGCTGGTACAAAAAAGGTTTCAGTGTTTTTTCATTATCATGATTTCCGTGGAATTATCCACTAAAAACACCGATGCCCACTAGGAGATATTATTATCGATATAAAAATAGCAACATTGTAAAAAAACAAAAAGTTCCCCGTTTGGCCACTGCCAGAAGTGTTTCATTCATATTATTTCTGATATGTTGAATACAAATATTAAATATGGGTAAAATCAATAAAAGAAGAAAAAAATTGAATTTATCTAAAACCAGAGAACAATATATGCTCCTATGGTTTCTTTTAAGAAACAATATCATAGGAGTTTTTAATTTCACATTTTTATATCGATTGAGATCATTATATCGTTAATATCATTAATATGCTTATATGTCAATATGTTAATACTGTTAATATGCTTGAAGATGATAGAAGTTGGTAGAGATACTCTGGAATTAAACATAAAACCCTGAGTACTATGATGACTTTATCATACCTAAGCTACTTATCTAAATCTTGACACCTTGTTTATGAATTATAAGGAGGCAGTTCTCCTGGAAGGAAGCACAGTCCTTTTCCGTTTATCATTCTATCATTCTGCATTTGTATTTTGCCGCCTCTGAAATTTTGGATTTTTGTCTTTTGCTTGTAGGGTTACAGTGACTGCAATGTGCAACATGGACTTCAGCCGATTTCCCCTGGACACACAAACGTGCTCCCTTGAGATTGAAAGCTGTGAGTAGACTGTCCCACAGACAGAAGCCCCAGAACCCGAGTAATTCCCAACACCGCTAACTCTCAGTTAGCAGGAACAGCATAGTCCCCTCATTCATGGCTAGTGATTGTTTTCAGTGATTTTTTTAGATTAAAGCTAAGTGCAGGGTAATTTTGAAAATCAGGAACAAATTTGGGGCTAAAACCTCCGTTCCTATAATAGACCCTTTTAATGGCGCTACGGCAATGGTTTTAAACTTGGTTCTGTGGGAACCTGGGCAATAGCTTGGGCGGGGGGCGGGTAGAGGGCTCAGCAAATCTGGGTCTCCATGTGCAGCTATTTCTACCTGCTGTCCAATGTGTGAGCTCATTTTGATCTGTTTTTATTGTTCCTCTGAGAAAGATTTCTGTTGAAGAAGAGATTTCGTGCCAAAAACATGTTTGGTAACAAATGCCCGTGGGAATTGCCCAGGTGAGCGCAGGTGGCGCTCGAGAGCCTCAGGCACAACTGAGGGGCCTCAGGACATTTGCACGCATGGATGCTCTGCCCAGGTTAAGAGCCAGGCTCTGGGAAGAGCAAGGCTGAGGCAGCGTCAAGAACTACTTGCTTGCATCTCCAGATCTCTACACAGCTGCTCTGTTTTTCAGTCTTTGCCCAAATGCTTCCTTTGATGGGCGCAGTCTGGACTCTCCCATAACTCCAACTGTCCACTCCTCCCAAGCGAATACCAGCACCCGCCCACTGGCCCTTCCTGGCTGGTGACCAAGCCTTAGGGAGGAATCTCTTTGGCACAGGGCACCTTTGAAGCCAACCTGCATTTGTGGCAGTGAGTCAGGGATCTCCTGGCCCCAGTCATCCCGGGTGGAGGAGGGCAGGCATGTTGATGCAGAGGTCAAATGTACACCTGCATAGGGCACTGAATGTTGAAAAAGGGAGTAATAAATCCCAGGACCAAGGGAGAAACTGAACTACCCACCGCATAGTGGCTTCCTACCTGCTGTCATTTCACCCTCAGCAGCTCCTGGGAGAAGGTTACTGTTATCTCCCTTCTACATGGAGGGACATAACTGGCCTGAGGACATAGCACTAAGGACTTAACTCATTGGCTCCAGTACCCTGCTTTCCCTAGTACACCCAGCTAGCTCCATCGGGAATGTGCATTCCAGGCTGCATCAGGTAGGATGCACAGAGAAGCAGAATATTGGAGATACACAGTAAGAGATATTAAGGGCAAGGAATTGATTGTGCGAGCATGGGAGCTGGTGAGGCAAGTCTGTGCTGGTGGGAAGGGCAAGCTGGGAACCCCCGGATGGGACCTGAGCCTGCCTTTCACTTACAGAATTTCTTCTTCTTGGGGAAACCTCAGATCTGCTCTTAAGACTTTTCAACTGATCAGATCAGAAAAAGGATCATCTCCTTTACTTCAAGTGAACCGATTGTAGGCATCTGGTCTACCAATCATCTTCAGAGCAACACCTAGATTAGTGTTCAATTGAATAACTGAGTGCTCCAGCCCAGCCAAGTGGATACGTGAAACCAATCCTCATACAGGTCAAGGGTAAGATATAGAATAAAACAGAGGAATGAATAGAGCATCAGGGAGCTCCAGAAACAACTGTTGAACACGCGAGCAGGCTGGAGTGGCCACTGTTAGGTTTTTGCCTCAGGTCTGTCCAGGCTGCCGGTAGGTTTGCTCAGCTGGAGTCCCGTGTGTGCCCATTAAAGTGGGTGAGGGTCAAGGGCGTGTCAGCGCCAGAGGGCATGGTCCTTCTGGGGGAATCCCTGTGATTTTACCCTGGGTAGGAGCAACTGGAAGCCTGCAGAGAAGGGACTTGTGTTCTCTTGCATCACTTTGTGGGTCCTTTCTTGCTAGAACACAGACCCTTTACCTTGATAGTATTTAAAGATATTCGCCATCAATGGATGCATTACCACGCTTGGGAAGGAGAAATCAAAGGGCTAAATCAGCCTAGGTAAGGCAGTTTTGCCACAATTTCACCATTTCTCCTCTACAAGTGTATAGCAGTTTCATTCGTGTTAACCTAATAAATGGCAGGTTACATTGTGGGGTGAATGCTTTTGCAGGAATTAGGAGCACTGAGGCTTGAGAGCTTTGCTCTGATGACTTCTGGAAGACTGGGGAGAATTCATTTGTCTTTTTAAAAATGTTGTTTTGCTTCATCTAAACTGTGGCTTGTTTATTCCAACTCTCTTACTACCAGCTCGATAGTTCAGATGGGAGATGTGGAGCTGCCCCCAGCGGAGCACCACAGACAGGCCTGGCTTCCCACCCCTCATACCTGCGCCTGATGCTGTCTCCTGTCTTTTCAGATGCCTACACGGAGGATGACCTCATGCTGTACTGGAAAAAGGGCAACGACTCCTTAAAGACTGATGAGCGGATCTCACTCTCCCAGTTCCTCATTCAAGAATTCCACACCACCACTAAACTGGCCTTCTACAGCAGTACAGGTGGGGGCAGGTGGGGCCTGGGTTGGGGGGTCAGCGCTAGCTTAGCTGGGTGGGTCATCCTCTATTTTAGGAAAGGTGTCAGTTGGTTGTCAAGGGAGCATTGCCTGTGCCTGGATTTGAAGCCAAAGGTAGAAATCCTAAATCAGGTCTAGGGGGTGGCAAGCATGGGGGAGAGGTGCTTTTTGGATACCACCAAAGCATCCGGAACTGATAATCTAGAGAATATTAGTAAAAACTCAGACATCAGCCAGGTGAGGAGGTTCGTTTGAGCCAGTCATTTCCAAGCTTAGCAGCTGGCATTTCACCCCCGATAGGATTCCCAGAACCCCCTCCTCTGTAGGCAAGAAACTGTTCTATTTTAGCTCTGCTGATTTCTGTTCTCCCTGTTCTACTCAATTAATCTTCTCTCCCTCTCTTCTTTTTTTATTAACTAATTTTATTTTTTTTAACATATAATATATTTTTATCCCCAGGGGTACAGGTCTGTGAATCGCCAGGTTTACACATTTCACAGCACTCACCATAGCACATACTCTCCCCAATGTCCATAACCCCACCCCCCCTCCCAATCCCCCTCCCCCCATCAACCCTCAGTTTGTTTTGTGAAATTAAGAGTCACTTATGGTTTGTCTCCCTCCCAATCCCATCTTGTTTCATTTACTCTTCTCCTACCCCCTTAACCCCCCATGTTGCATCTCCTCTCCCTCATATCAGGGAGATCATCCCTCTCTTTTTTTCTGGAGTGAATTCTCTCTGAACTATACTGCTTGCACAGGCCGTCTTTATGACCTTGGGACGCTCCTTGCTCGCTCTGAACAGGCTTGCCCCCTCTCCTTGCCTGGGGGCATGTTCTGTGCTCTTCCTCCTGGCAGCTGAGGTGAACAGCCCTCTCTAACCCTTACCCCAGTCTTGACTAATCAGCTTTAGGATGATATTATTCAAACCTTCATGTAGTTTCTTTTCTTTTCTCTCTCTCTCTCTCTCTTTTTTTTTTTTTGAGTAAGCTCCATGCCCAGCGTGGGGCTCAACGCAAGGCTTGAACTCATGACTCTGAGATCAAGACCTGAGCTGAGATCAAGAGTAGGATGCTTAGCTGACTGAGCCACCCATGTGCCTGTCTTTATGTAGTTTCTTTTGCCAAAACATTGCACGACTGCACAAGAAGTGCAACCTTTTAAGTCTTCTAATCTGTAGCAGAGGGCACTGCTTTACTCCCAGCATACCATGGCAATCCAGCATATCCCACCTTCTGTATACCTCACTCAGGAGTCTTGGTTTTTCAGGGGACCCCCCCACTTCATCCTTAGCATTCTGACACTTCCTCTTGTCTTAGTCTCTTGGGGCTGCTATCACAAAAAGACCATAGACCGGGCAGCTTCAGAAATAAACAGAAATTTACTTCTCACAATTCTGGAAGCTGGTAAGTCCAAGATCAAGATGCTGGCAGAGTCAGTGTCCGATGAAAGCCCGCTTCCCAGTTCATAGACAGCCACCTTCTTGCTATGTCCTCACATGGGGGAAGGCGCAAGGGAGCAATCTGGGGTCTCTTTTATAGGGTCACTAATCCCACTTATGATGTAATCACTTCTGAAGGCCCCACCTCCAAATACCATCACATTGAGGATTAGGTTTCAACAAACAAATTTAGGTGGGTTGGGGGACAGACAGTCTACTGCGCCTCCACAGTCTTTCTGGGACTGCTCTACAGTGACAACCATTGTATTATAATTGTCCAGGATGCCAGGGTTTCAAGTTAACGTTGCCAAGTCTCCATTTCATGTTCAGACCTTGCCTTCCTGGGTTTATCCTGCTTTTTCCTTTTCCTTCCATCTTTCCCCTGTTCCTTTGAACGCTTCCATGCATATTTTCTCCTTGTAGAGGATGTAAGAGCAGAGCTAAAGCATGCTGAGCCTGTGATCATTTACTGTTCCTAAATGCAAAGTTTGGGTTAGCATGGTATTTTAACTTTAAAACATTTGCCTCCATAAAGAAATCCAAAGGGGCTTGTTTAAATAAATGTTTCTCAAACTTTATCGTGCAGATAAGTCATCTGGCGAATATTGTTGAAAGGAGATTCTGATACAGTAGATCGGGGGTGGGGTGGGGCTGAGAGTCTGCATTTCTAACAAGCAACCAAGTGACGGTGACATTACTGGGCTCTGCCCCAAACAATGAGTAACAGGAGTCTTAAATGGACTTCTCAAGGGGCTTCCTTTATGTACAAGACAGGGGCCAAAGATGTCTGGAGAGGGACTCACCATGTGGCGTAGGTTATCATATAATCACTCCCATTGGTTTTATTTCCTCTCTGTAAATGTGTGGCAAGTTTCCAGGGAAGTGTCTAGGGCATTTTTGAGTCCTGGAACAGAATGGGTTGTGTGCAGGAGCTGAGCAGCAATGATGTTTGGTATCTTTTCTCCCTTGTGTCTCCCAGGCTGGTACAACCGTCTGTACATTAACTTCACGTTGCGACGCCACATCTTCTTTTTCTTGCTCCAAACTTACTTTCCGGCCACCCTGATGGTCATGCTGTCCTGGGTCTCCTTCTGGATCGACCGCAGAGCTGTGCCCGCCAGAGTCCCTTTAGGTAAGGAACATCTCAAGTGTGTCTTTCAGGCATCTGAAAATACAAGTAATTTCTTCCAGATGAAACCATTCATTTCAAATTGGTTCTACACCCCTGTTGGCATGAAAACTTGGAAACATCAGGTTATTGATTCACAGGTCAAATACTATTATTAAGGACCTATGTGGCAAAACTGTTTCCAGGGCCCCACGAGTGCCCATGCAAACAACCCACCTTTAGTTTTGTTAGAACCATGTTCTGGGGTCGGTGGTCCTGGTGTGTGGGTGCTTTTTCTGCTTACCTGCGCAAGGACACCACGTTCTAAAACAGGGCTTCTCCAAAGGTGGCCTAGGGGATCTTTGTAATGGCATCTCTGGGGGAAATTGTGTAAAATGAAGAATCCTGTGTCTCATCTACAAGTTTAGAATCGGAATCTCTGAGAAAGGACCAGAACCTACATTTTGAAGAAGGTCTTCTAGTAATTCTGATCCATACTCAGGTCTGAAAATCCCTACTGTAAGCATTTTGTGAATAGCTCTTTGCCATCAGCTCTCTCCCCCACCCTAAATGTCACACCCACTCAGTCACACCACCATTGCTCGCTCAGTGGTTCTGAGGCTTCAAGGGGGAGGGTGACCGCCAAGGTTTTAGTGACACTGAGTTGGAGCTGGCCCTTAAGGTGACCTCAGTCCCCTGTACTCAGTTGTTTGCCAAGCCAAATGTTCTGAGCTTAATTTGAAATCCCAGGCAAACACCCCTGACAAATGTCCTGTCCTTTAGCAACTGTCCCATAGCTTGAACAGTCCTGTGCTAAATGAACATTCTAGTTTCAAAAATCTAACCCTCCTAGAGGAGGCCAGCATCATTCTTGATAAAATCGGCCTCCGCGTCCTCAAGTCAACCTTGCTGAATGGGCAGCCAGGTCTGGCATGGGGTTGGCTGTCAGAATTGCTCTGACTGCTGATAATACAGGCCCAGGACTGCAAGATCCTACACCAGCAGCAAGGACACCAGTACTGAAATATACTTTTCCCCCTTTTTGGAGAGGTAGTTCTAAGAAACACATATATACCTGCTCCTATGCATAATCTCAGATTTATTTATTTACTTATTTATTAATTAATTTATTATTTTTAAGTATTTTATTTTTTAAAATAACCTCTGTGCCCAATGTGGGGCTTGAACTCACCACCTCAAGATCGAGAGTTGCAGGCTCTATTGACTGAGCCAGCCGGGTGCCCCTATAGATCTCTGTTTTAACCAATTGAATGGAAAAACAAATGTCTTGTTGCCAAAATGTCTAGGGCGGGCTCTCTCTGGAAGGACAAGGTGAGACAGATGGTGTTGGCCAGTATGTGGTGGGAGAGGATGGGTGAGTATGAGAGGTGGAGGAACAGAAGAAGCTTCCTAAAAGCCAAATTTTGAGGGGTCCCTAGGTAGTTCAACAGGTTAAGAGTCTGCATTAGACTCAGGCCCTGATCTCAGGGTCCTGGGATTGAGCATGCAGAGGGGCTCTCTACTCCACAAGGAGTCTACCTCTCCCTCTCCCTCTGTTCTCTCTCTCGCTCGCTCTTGCTCTCTCAAATAAATAAATAAATCTATCTTAAACAAGAAAGCTAAATCTTTTTTTTTTAAAGATTTTTTATTTTATTTATTTGACAGACAGAGATCACAAGTAGGCAGAGAGAGAGGAGAAAGCAGGCTCCCTGCCGAGCAGAGAGCCTGATGCGGGGCTCGATCCCAGGACCCTGGGATCATGACCTGAGCCGAAGGCAGAGGCTTTTAACCCACTGAGCCACCCAGGCACCCCAAGAAAGCTAAATCTTGAAAGATGAGCAGGTGTTTGCTAGACAGAGGGGCAGGGACAGAAATACTCTAGGCAAAAGGAGCAGAAAGGACAAAGAACAGAGGCGTGAAGCCACCCGGGGTCTTCGGTCAAAGGCAAAAGCCTGCTTCTTTCTCACTCTGTTCGCAGGTATCACCACCGTGCTGACCATGTCCACCATCATCACGGGCGTGAACGCCTCCATGCCCCGCGTCTCCTACATCAAGGCAGTGGACATCTACCTGTGGGTCAGCTTCGTGTTCGTGTTCCTGTCGGTGCTGGAGTACGCAGCCGTCAACTACCTGACCACGGTGCAGGAGCGCAAGGAGCGCAAGCTGCGCGAGAAGGTGACCCTAACATGAGTGAGGGGGTCTGCTCGGGGATAGAGAGCCTGGTCTAGCTCTGGACCATGGGCAGGTCAGACCTTCTCTGTAAATTGGGGTGGTGACATCCCCTCCACCTACTTCACCAGCTGGTGTGAAGAGCAAACAAAATAATACATGAAAACAGTGTGAAATTTACCCTGGCTACATCTTTCAGTCATTCAAATATTTATTTAGCGCTTGCCACATATCAGCAGCTAAGCCAAGTTAATTAAGACAAAATCCCTTTAATCGTGGTGGTGTTCATTGTTTAGTGCTAAAAACAAGATGACAGTTCAATGTGGTGAAACAATTATTTGTGAACCCAGAGGGGTAAAAAACAAACAAACAAAAAAAAACAAGCAAACAAACAAAAAACTTCCAGGGAAGCACATCCTCCCTTCTAGGAACCTCCCTTTCATATGTGACCTCTGGGATCACCTTCCCTCCCACCCAGCTTTTCTTTCTTCCTCCTGTCCACAGTCAAATGGTTCTTTCCTCCAGAAACCTAGAACCAAGTAGGAGAGAACTAGCACCACGATGCTACACCTTTCAGTCCCCACCCCATCACACCACACTACACACACATAATGTTATCAGAAACATTTTTATCAGGGCTCCTATTAGTTTCTGACCTCAGGGGGAACAGGACAATTATCTGATCAGGAACATTCAGGGGGTCTCTGACACGATGTGATGTTCCCTGAGAGTTGCTCCGTAGACTTGGAACAAAAATGGACACCTGCTCTTTTAGCACGTTCCCGTGCCGACACCATTATTTCCCCAAACCCTAACCCCTAACTGGGAATAAAAGAACAGAGAAAAGGCCACCGCAACCAGATTGCAGTTTCTTCTGAGAGCCGGGGCAGAGCTCACATCCCAGTGTGTGTTTGCTGTGTTGGCAGCTTCCTTGCAGCTGTGGAATATCCCAGCCTCGCGGTGTCATGCTGGAGGGCAGCTACAGCGACGGGGAGGTTAATGACCTGGGCAGCTACATACCGGAGAATGGAGAAAAGCCGGACAAGATGATGGTGCAGCTGACCTTGGCCTCGGAGAGGAGCTCCCCGCAGAGGAAAAGCCAGAGGAGCAGCTACGTGAGCATGAGGATTGACACCCATGCCATTGACAAATACTCCAGGATAATTTTTCCAGCGGCATATATTTTATTCAATTTGATATACTGGTCTATTTTCTCATAAATGCCTGTAACTCTGTAAATTTCACCTTCTTTTGTATGTGTCACAGAAATACCTGTGTGATGGAAGTAATTTAAGGTTATGAGTCAATTAAAGTTCCCACTACCCACCCTTCTCCTGCTTTCCAAAACTACATAGACAACCTATTTACTGCTTTAATTTGCACTTACTAACCGCCTGTTGCATCCACAGCATCGTACTCGGTGCTGCCAGGAATAGGACACCCGTAGCAACTGGTCATAGTTGTTACTGGAATCCCCTGGAAGAGCACGCTGCCCGTGTTGTGGACACACTGTAGCTTAACCTGTAGCGATTATTCATATGAATGACGCCCTCTGTGCACACGTCATTATATTCCCTGGACTAGGTGGGATTGGGAAGCACTGAAGTTCACTCACGTGAAACGTACGTGCACCTAAATCCCCACTTGGACCAAAATTCATGCTTCACTTCATATCTATTCCTTATTTTTCAATGTGTCTCCTCATGTTTATTTTAATACAAGGCAAAAATAATTTCCCTGTTTTTATTTATGTCTTACGGTTCATGAGGTTTCACCTCTTCAGAAGCAAAGCTCTTTAGAATGATGCAATGGCTTCTGATTTGGGGGGATGGGGAGTCTCCCTGGTAGGGAAGCTATGAAGGAGATGGTCTATGCATACATGTTCTGTCAGTTCTGTCATAGAGATAACTAGCCTAGAAAACTTGTGTTTCAGTGTCTCCTGTTTCATAATAATGGCTTCATGTAGTTCCACCTTGGAGCATGTCCTAGTTCAAAGTGAAGTCCTTTCTCAGGAGTGTGGTACCTTCACTGAGGAACTTGGGAATAGACAGTTGTCATCATAAACACTTCAAGAAAACACATATTTTGGGACTATTACTAGTTACTTATTAGGAGGAGAAATATTCACATGGTTTCTGAAGAAAAAAAGAACACCAGAAAGAAAAAGAAATGGGAAGATATCACTGAACATCTCCAGTTATATTTAGTGAATGCCAGCATTTTCTGTGAACCAGAAAACAATGGCCACCTCTCGCCAGGGCATGGGATAAGAGAGAGGATTCTAATTTGATGTATTATTGAAAAATAAATAAGCTATTGTGCTGTGAAGTGTGTAAACCTGGCGATTCACAGACCTGTACCCCTGGGGCTAATAATACATTATATGTTTATAAAATAAAAAAATAAATAAATAAATAAATAAATAAATAAGCTATTCATACTATACACCTACAGGATCAACCCCCACCAAACTTATCCAAACAGCACTTGTTTGAAACTCACTTTAATAAAGTGAATTCTACACAATGATGTCATTTGCTTTCCACAGGTACTTGAGCTGAGCATCCATACTAAATACTATCTCTTCATACGAGAACTATGCTTCATTCTAGTATGACAATAAAACTATATTTGCACAAATCCCAATTACAAGGTAGTCTTCCATTTCCCCTAATTAAAAACGCTTTCAAGAAGATACTTAAAGGGATATAGATGAAGTAGTTAAACATTAGCTTTTGATATTTAAAAACATTTTGAACATTACTTTCTCATACTTATTTTATGAAACAATTTCAATCAAACTCTTCACAAACATCCTTGCCACTCACTTCTTGCTCATGACCACAGCCACTCTGAGTCACCTAGCAAGGTTTCCAGGGCACATCATGTGAATTTCCATCCACTTTGTTTGGGCTGTATGTAGAGGATGCTGTACGAGTTTACTCAGGCTGCCATAGCAGGTGGCTTAAATGACACCAATTTATTTTCTCTCGGTTCTGGAGGCTGGAAGTCTAAGAGCAAGGTGCTGGCAGGTTTGGTTTCTCCTGAGGTCTCCCCCCTTGACTTGCAGATGGTCACCTTCTTGCTATGTCTGAGCATGGCCTTTTTCTCTGAGCCCATGCATCCCTAGATGTCTCTTTTCTAGAAGGATACTAGACCTACTGGAGTAGAGCTCCACCCTTATGATCTCATTTAACTTTAATTGCCTCTTTAAAAGCCCTGTCTCCAAATAAGTCACTGTGGGAGTGAAGACTTCAGCATATAAATTGGGGGGAGGGGTGGAGTGAGGGCAAAATTCAGTCCAGAACAGCTGTCCATGTTGTCATGTCCATTATGTTATTTGCATAATAGTACATCTTATACATGTTTACTCTTGATCTTTATAACATAATCACTTACAGTACTTTTTTTTTTTTTTAAGTTTAGAGTGATCTCCACACTGGTAGTAAGGAAGAAAAAGTAATGAAATTCATGTTAAATTTCTTTGCTATCTTGAAGCAATTCTCGCAGGGGACCTCTTCAAGCATTTCAAAATAGCACTGATGGAGGTTATTTCCATGCTCATGTTTCCTCCAGGCCGTACCTTGCTGTCAAAGCTACATGTGGGAGAAAGAACTCTAATACGACTTTGTAAAGACATCAGTATAAAGCAACTCCCTCTTTCTGGTGGATAATTTTGGAGAGGACCTTACCACATATGTGGGCATCTATAGCACTTCATGAATTTTTGCTGGAATAACTGGAGAATAGGAAGATGCGGTTAATAAAATTGTCTGGTTAAGAGGCAGGTACCATCATATGCCCATATTAAATAATTTTTCAAGAGTCAAAATACTGTAACATACAGTTGACTTGACCTATAGCAAACATAATTTATTCTCTGTCTGGTAGTTCAGGATTTTGAGGGTTTATCATCATTTTTGTGCTACAATGTAGACATCATAAAGGTGTCTTCCTGGTGTTAGCCAGGAAGGAACTGGGGTCAGTCAGACCAGCCTTGACTCAATGGCAATATTCTCTTTCTGTGTTACATATCCCTAAACAATACTCATTAGCTTTTTCATAATTCACATTTTAGAGAAGAGTGGTGATGCTAGGTTTTAGAAAGAATAAGAAATGGCTTGTTAATAACGATGAAACCTCACATTTGTAAAACCCAGTTTTATACAAGTCCTTTTTTTTTTTTTTCAAGTAGGCTCCACACCCAGCATGGAGCCCAGTGAAAGGCTTGAACTCACATAATCCTGAGATCAAGACCTGAGCTGAAATCAAGAGTTGGATGCTTAACCGTCTGAGCCACGCAGATGCCCCACAAACAAGTATTTATTTATTTATTTATTTGTCAGAGACAGAGAGGGAGAGAGCCAGAGCACACATGCAGGGAGAGCGGCAGAGGGAGAGAGAGAAGTAGATTCCCCAATGAGCAGGAAGCCCAGCGCAAGGCTCCATCTCAGGGCCCTGGGATCATGACCTGAGCCGAAGGCAGACGCTTATCTGACTGAGCCACCCAGCATCCCACAAACAAATGCTTTTGATGAGGCACGTTGGTATCTGGGAGCAAATGGTCAAGAACGAATTCTTGAGATTTTTTGGTGCAAAAAAAGGTAGGTTTTGTGTGTGTGTGTGTGTGTGTGTGTAAGAGTGCAAAAAAGGTGGTTTTATTAAACCACAGGGACAGGACCTGTGGGGAGAAAGAGCTGCATTGGGCTTGTGAGGAGTGACTGATTATTACATACTTTCAAGTAGGGAAGAGGCTAGGGAGAGCCTAAGTCTCTAGATGCAAGGTTTCTAGGACTTTGGGGGCCAGCTCTTGTTAGGATAAGGTCATTTACCTCTGTCTAGCAAATCCTTAGTTATGAGACCCTTCCAATGTATATCAGTGGGCCATCTGTTTGGAGGATGGTTGCTAACATATCTTAGAGAGGAAGAGATAAAGGAAGTTTCCAAAGGGATTTTCATATGTTAAAGAAGTCTTACAGGATCCTGGATGTTGGGCTAAGGTCAAGTTAAAGTTGCCTTTTGCCTCTAGCAGAGTATTAATACTGAAGCAGTTGAGCTCCATGAGGAAGGAAGGTCACTCTGCTGTCCCAAGTACTTGTCAATGGGCTGTAAGTTGTAAGAAGTTTAAATTTTTTCTACATTTCTTTCACCTGTTCTCCACATCACTTTCACACAGTGTATTTGTATTAAAGATTCCTAAGTTTCAAGTACAGAAACCTTTCATTTTGTGATAACTCACTAAAGAACCCATAAGAAGTCAGTGAAGGGGGGCACCTGGGTGTCTCAGTCGGTTAAGTGTCTGCCTTCGGCCTTCATCTCAGGGCGTGATCTTCAGATCCTGGGATTAAGCCCCATGTTGGGCTCCCTGCTTAGCAGGAAGCCTGCTTCTCCTTCTCCCTGTGCCCTGCCCTGCCCCTCCCTGCTCATGCATGCTCTCTCTCTCTCTCTCTCATATAAACAAAATCTTTTTTTATTTTTTTAAGATTTTATTTATTTATTTGACAGAGAGAGACAGAGCAAGAGAGGGAACACAAGCAGGGGGAGTAGGAGAGGGAGAAGCAGGCCCCCCGCCAAGCAGGGAGCCCTATGTGGGGCTAGATCCCAGGACCCTAGGATCATGACCTGAGCCTAAGGCAGATGCCCAATGACTGAGCCACCCAGGTGCCCCTCATATAAACAAAATCTTAAAACAAAAAAAAAAAAAATCAGTGAAAGAAATGAGTAAGATGATTTCTTGATGAAATTTTAATATCTAATTAGCAGGGAAAAAACAAACACTTCCATTTTCAGGCCAAATGAGAATTGAACACAACCCTAATGACTGCAAGATACAATTCAATCTTTTTTTGGTCTATACAGCATTCGACACTTTGATTTGTCTGATGAATTGGACAGCACCTTTGGCATTTTGTAGCTTGAACCCTCCTGTACCTACCTGTTTGTCCCATATATAAAAGCCCTTTCGACTTTTTATAGCTCTTATTTATCCTGAAAACTGAAAATAAGACAGAGAAACACAATGTATAAAGAAATGCAAAACGTAAACACTCCCCAAGTCTCTACCATTTCCTTGGTTTAAAAATTTAATTGACATTTCTAAGAGTAGTATTAACACTGCGGAAAACCGACTAGAGCAAGAAAAAAGGTCCTGGCAACAAATATTAAATATAATCTTAATTCTGGGGGTTGCAACATAGAATCTACATGAATGTAATTCTAA